TGCCCGAAGTCACCCCGCATCTTTCTCTCTAGCAACCTCTCCTCTTGGTGCCCGCCCCCCAGCAGGGCTGACTCCCAGCAGCTCCTTAGCCCACCCACACTGGGGGTGATGGCTTCTCCTGGTGTGGGAGGGTCTCAGCGGGAGAAGCAGGGCAGGGGACCTGCTTTGTCTTCCCTGAGGGCTGCACTCAAGACCCAGGAAGTGGCTCCCACCTGTCCCGGGAAGGTCCCTAGCCAGGGCTTGCCACAGCCAGCACCAAAGTCAGGGCACAAGTGGCCTCAGATCACAACCCCGTGCTCCCCGCCTCCTGGAGGGGCAGGGGCTGTTCCCGGCATCCCTGGCAGGATGCTCGCTGGCCTGTGTGCGGGGGCTGGGGCCAGCAGGAAGGCAGAACCGACCCAGCCCCGCCCCTGATCTGAGCCACGTGGGCTGAGCCCCGGAGCCTGGGGCTGGGGGCAGTGGGCAGGGGGGGTGCAGGTGCAGGTAGCCCTGTGTGGAGGAGTCAAGGCCTGCCTGGCGCCCTCCTGCTTTCCTCACCCGCTCACGTCCCAGAGTGCCAGGTTCTGTTAAACCAGCATCGCCTACAACCGGCCTTTGGCAGGTGACCCAACCCCTGCTCACGATGGCTATGGAGGACGGTCTGGAGCCCCCCAGGTCTGGCCGGCGGGGCCTTGGGCAGCACACATCGCTTCCCCATCGCAGCCCCGTGACAGTTGAGTAAGCTGCCCTGGAAGGCCCCCTCTCCCTTTCTGCTGCCCCGGTTTCATAATCTCGCCCTTCCCCTGGGAAAGGGAACCTAGGAAACTGGTCTGGGAGGGTTGAGCTTTCCCTTCCTTTGCATGACTACGCATTGTCCTGGATAAATGGCTCCCTGCACCAGAAACCTGACCCCAGAGAGGCTCCAGAGGGGCGCTGCAGGAGGAATCAGAACCGCTGGGCTTCTGGGCCTCCGAGACTGGCCCACAGGCCCAGGCACTGGATTCCAGCAGGAGAGTCCCAGCCTGCCGAGGTCACGTGCTGGGGGCCTGGCGGGCCAGTCTGCATCTTCAGGCATGTTTGGTTTGGCCAGAAGAGGACTCTAAAATGAAGCTATTGTGCTGTCAGCATGGAAGAATTTTGAGGTCTCTCACAGGCAGCCTGGCATTCTGACCTCTAGAGGGATGGGCCACCAGTCTGCCCCCTCAAGGGGCCTAGCTTCAGCCATCGTCCAGGACCCTCGGGCCCAGGTTATCTGTGCTCTGACCCCATCTGGTCCAACCTCTCCTAGTTACAGAGGGGAACAGAGGCACAGAGGAGCAGCGGGCAGGTCGTGAGAGTCAGGCCTGCAGCCCAGGGCCCCAGGGGTAGCCCTGTAACTTTCCCCAGGGGACCAGGAGGGGAAGGGGCCATTTTCAGACACCCCAGATCGTGAGCCCTCAGCGGGAGTCACGGGGGGTCTGTTCGGCTGCAGGCCTGGGAGGACGGCTGAGAGGCTGCTGCTGGGGGTTAGGGCTCCGTTTGTCTCAGCAGAGAGCCCCAGGTCGAGCCTGCTATTCCTGAGACGCTGCTTCCCATGGCCAGCAACCGCGTGCTGGGACGCAGTGGGGTCTGGTGGCCCAGAGCCTGAGGAGGAGTAGGAAGGCTGGGCGGATCTTTGCTGCTGGGTTTTCTCCAGAGCAGGCCTCCCGGCACATGGCTGAGCTAGGGGAGGCTGCCGGGGCTCGGGGACCGAGCACGTGCTGTCAGAGTGTTGAAGGTGCTAGTTTTTCTGGAGAGAAACCAGGGTGTGTCATGGAGACGGGAAGATCCTTCCCAATCTCTGTGTCTCCCTCCCCTCCGCCATCTCTTTCCCCATCTGCCCACTCCTCCCGTGTCCAGCAGCTTCTCCCAGACAACCTCATACTTTGCACGGGGCCCAGCAGGACAGTCGGAATGCCCGGAACATCTGACGGACAGGCTGTCTAAGGCCGACCTGGTGGCCTCAGGCCCTTGGGCCTCGGCCCATGTTCCTGGGTTCTCCGAGCTGCCGGAACTTGCAAAAATTTAGCTCAGGCCGGAGCTAATGACATCTCCAGCTGTGTGTTCCCGGCTCCGATGCGGGCGGTACCTCGCTCAGTCCTCCAGCAGATGCCATGGGAGGGGCACCTTCATTATCCGTGACATACGCACAGGGCAACTGAGGCTCAGACTTGCTAAGGAACCTGCCCAAGGTCACACTGCAGTGAGTGGCGAAGCCAGGCTCGAACATGACCCCTACATGGCCTGCATTCTGTCCACTCTGCTTCCAAGATTCCCTGACTGTCTCAGAAATGTCCCACCACGCTGAATCAGGCCTGGCCCCAGTGACAGCAGGCATGAGGTGAATCTGGGGGGGTTTCAGAGCAGTGGGACAAGAGCAGCCTTCCTAGGGTAGCAGGCTTGGTCTCTGGAAGCAAGACCATCTAGACAGGGAGGTCCCCATGGCGGCAGGAGACAGTCACTGCTGGGCCTGGCGTGATGGACCCCGCTTGCCGCCAGCAGGGCCCCTGACTAGCGCCTGGGTCTGGCATGTCCCGGGGGTCCAGAGGTGAGTTCTGGCACAGTCTGAGCCTCCAGGGCAGCGTCACGGCAACTGCGTCAGTGCAGGGGGCACGAAGATGTACTTGGGGGCCTCTTAGGGAGGGAAGAGCAGACCCTCCTGTAAGCTGGGGCTCAGGCCCCTGGGGGTCTTGGAGGGGCCGGATGCAGCTGTTTCTCATGCCTTTCACTGCATCAGAGCCAGACTCTAAACGCAGCTGAAGCCTAAGCTCGGGGTCTCGAACCCCCACGACAGGGCCCCGGCAAGACGCCGTCCCTCTCTGGGCCAGAGATTTGAGCCCGCTGGGCTGGGCGCAGGTAACATCCCTGCGTCACCAGCATTAGGACCCGGTGGGGATGAAACAGACCTGATGCTGACTCAAGTCAGGGTCGCTCCTGCCCCTGGCCCATCCCCCACCGCCACTCTAGAGTTCCTGCGAGGGGGTGTGGGTCAGAGTGTCCGAGTGGGGCCCAGGGGGGATGGCAGTGGGGTGGGGAGGTGGGGTGAGTCCAGGAACTGGAGCTGCCCATGGTTCAGGGGCCAGGCTGCCTTCAACGGTGACCATTGAGGAAGACCCTGATGCTGGGAAAGATTGAAGGCAGGAGGAGAAGGGGATGACAGAAGATAAGATGGTTGGATGGCATCACCAACTCGATGGACATGAGTTTGAGCAACCTCTGGGAGTTGGTGATGGATAGAGAGGCCTGGCATGCTGCAGTCCCTGGGTTCGCAAAGAGCTGGACGTGACTGAGCGACTGAACTGAACTGAACTGAACTGAACTGATCGAGGTGGGGTGAGTACAGATGCTGGCAGGGAGGCGACATGGGGACAGAGGTCCGCAGGAGGGAGGGACCTTCACAGAGGCCTGGGAGGCTGCGATGCAGATGACTGAGAGGGGCGGGGCCATAGAGGAGGCAGGACTTCAGTGGGATGTCTGTTGCACTGGTCCCAGCCAACCAGGGGGCTGGCTTGGGAAGCAGTTCCACTGTTGGGAATCATTTTTGGGGTTAGTGGCCCATTTCCCAGACAAAGAGTTTGAGGTAGAGGAAGGAGCATGAAGGGCAGACCTGCTCCCAGTCCTCCCCCCTACCCTCCCTGGACTGGCTCAGCAGACTCTGGCTCTATGCAAACCGTCCGTGCAGAAGTGAATGTGTGCACAGACACAAGCCTACAACACACCCACTGAGAGGTCTGGGGATGACGGTGGAGTCACAGGCCCCCATGCTAAGGAAGTGCTCCCCAAGGCCCTCCGTCCGCTGCCCGGTGGAGACCTTCACAGGCTCCCTGGGGCCGGGTGTCCCGGCACCCCTGCACGCATGCTCTCATGGCCTCGGCAGCTGCAGTCAGCTAATTTATCCGCCGCCCGCCGCCCCCCCCCCCCCAGCTTTCTCATCGAAAAGGAATTTGATGTGGAAAATGATAAGGAAACAGCAGCAGAGAGTGGTTAAGACGCTCACTCGGGGAAAACAAATCAGCCATATCCGATCCAAAAACCTCAGTGCGTGTCTTAGGATGAAGATATGCAAAAAGAAAACAATGAAAGACAGTGTAGGAGGCAGCCTAGAAATGCAGAAAGGCCGGTCCTGTGGGGGAGGAGGTGTGAGGAGCCCCTTCCTGACTGTGTGTCTGCTGGGCGGGCCCTTCTCATACATGGTCCCACTGAGGACCCAGGGAGCGGGGCATCCGTTCAGGAATGGGAAACTGACGCAGAGGCCGTGGAGTGCTGGAGTCAGGCCTTGAACTCCACCAGTGGGGGTGAGGGTCAGGAACACAGGCCCTGTAGCCCGTTCCTATCTGGGCTGGACTCCTGGCTTCACTGCGTCCTAACTGTGTGACGTTGGGCCAATTACTGAACCTCTCTGGTTTCTGTTTCCACCTCTACGAAATGGGGTGATCACGATGCCTCCCTCAAGATGGTTGTGGAGGGGGAGGCGTGAAGCCAGGCGGAGCTCTCGGGGCAGATGAGAAGCCCTCGGGGGTGGCCAGCGGTCAGTGTCCGTGGATGACCAGCATGCCGGGTGCACGGCTGGGCTGACGTGCAGCCACAGGTCTGGAGCGGGTGGGGGCAGCTGGTTCCCAGGCCTGGGGGAGGGGCACTTCTCTTCCTCGAGAGGGATTCATCTGAAAGCAGCTGCGGGGCCTCTCCAGGCCTGGCCTCCACTGAAACGCTCATGTGTGTGACCCACGAATGTTTCAGCACCTACTATGTGCCAGGCCTGTGCTGTGCGCACGAGAGACAGCGGGAGTCATGCCCCATGGCCACCCCAAGGGGATCACACTGTGTGCTAGGGGTGATGATGACAATATGGCATGAGGAGAAACCACAGAGGGCGCCTAGCTGGGCTGAGAGCCTCAGGAAGGCTTCCTGGAGGAGGGGAATGCCTGGGCAAGGCCAGAAAGAAGGGGGTGCCACAGCAGCTCTTGCCCAGGGCCTCAGGAGAATGAGAAGACAGCAAATGCCACTGGGAGGAAGCTTGCGGTTTATTCAATACCTGCACTGCCAGATTCTGCTGGGGACCCTGAGCTTGCTGGCCCCAGCAGATGGATGGCTGCTGGTTCTTTCAGAGGAAGAAGCTCAGGGACATCTCCTCTAACGGTCTCAGCATCCCCATGAGACTGGTGTTATCAGCCCTATTCTACAGATTGGAAACCTGAGGCTCTGACAGGTGGAGGATCTGCCCCCCATCATCCGACCCCCTGGGCTCTTTCACGGCATGTTTTCCTCGCCTCGCCTGGAGCGCAGCACGGGTTTCCCTGCAGCCTAGAGTCTGGGGTGTGGGGAGAGGCTCCTGTGGTGGGCAGGAGGTGTCAGAAGGACTGCGCTGAGCCCAAGAACCACTCGGGGCATTTAGCCAAAACCCCAGCTTCCTCCCCAGAGAGACACTCAACACATCATACGCACCTTTGAGCCAGTGCAAGGACCCCAAGGTTGTGCAGCTGTGGCCTGAGAGATGATGATGGCTGGTGGATAAGACCTGCCGCTCCCTCCCCGCCAGCCACCACGGCCCCTTCCCCACCTGCCCTCTGCCACTGCTCACCCCAGTCGGGACCCCATCGGCAAAGTGTAGCGGGGGCACCAGAGGCCACTGCAAGACCCCGCCCCCCCCCCGCCCCCCCACTATCAGCGACAGCACAGTGATGGAGAGTCAGGGCAGGCGGCTGGCGGCAGTCGTGGAACAGGTGGTTCCTGTCCACTTGAGGCATGAGCAAGGGCACAGCCGTGGGCCTGGGGTCAGGATGGAGCTCAGGTCCTTTCCGGCCTCCCCACTGGGAGTCAGTTCTCATCTGGGACATGGGGGCAACACCCGCCTCACAGGGCCCCGTGGGATTCAAGGAGAGGCGGGCCTCTCGGGGGCAGGGGGATACTGGCTGGGGCAGCCGGGGTCGCCCACACTCTCGGCTCGCAAGGGCGCCTCCCTCCACACGCGGCGCTGGCAGTGCTCCACCGTGTTGCACATCTGGGCTGCCTCCCGGCTCTGGCACCAGAAGCTCGGGCCCAGGACGCACTGGTCGGTGCCCAGCAGCACGTCTCTGGGGTCGCGGCAGGCGCGCAACTTCGTGCAGAGGGTGGTGGGGTCCATCATGTCCCGGAGGGTCTCCATGAGCACGGGCTGGTACTCGCTCACGAAGCGGCCGCACTGCACCATGAAGGGCAGCGGCAGGATGCCACAGGCGAGCTTGAAGGCCCGCAGGACACGGCGCTCGGTGCTCTTCTGCTCCAGGTTGTGGACGGACAGACTGAACAGCCGCCGACACCCCCTGCAGAGGCTGTCCCGGTCCAGGAGGCTGGGCGGCAGGTTCGCGGGGCCCTCATGGACCGCCCGGGCCCGCCTCCATGCTCTGCACAGTCGAACAACCGTGCACATCTTTTCCGGGGTGATTCTGCTCAGGACATCCACCAGCGTGGGGGTGTAGGTGTCCACCAGCTTGATGCACTCCCGGCCCACGGGAGGGGGCAGCGCGGAACACACACGCTCCAGGGCCTGGCTGATGAGGGTCTTGCTGCTGCTGCTTTCCAGCCAGTGGTCCAGCCTCTGCACCACCTGCAGGCACACGTCACAGGCCACGGGACCCTGCATCTGCACCTCGCTCTTCTTCCATGGAGACGCCAGCTCCAGGGCGGGGACCCCGTCCACGGCAGCCACGTGAGCCGAGTGGGCGGGTCCCTGACGCTCCTCACAGAAGCCTTCATTTTCGCAGATCTCGCTGGGCGGCATGAACCTCAGCGTTTGCTCAGCAGGAGCAAGAAACTGGTGGATGTAGTTCTTGCAAAGGAAAGCCAGGCCCGGCCCCAGGGACTCACACTGCTCCCGTGTGGTCACCTGCGCCAGGCTGGACAGGTCGGGCCCAAGGGCACCCTGGAGCCGGGTGACCAGCCGGACACAGTCCTCGCACACGGTGCGCGCGGGAATCCGCTGATGGCGGGAGCCGAGGAGGCCACTGGCCACAAACGGGGCCACCATGTCATTTATGTCCTCCTCGGAGAGCGGCCCCGGGGTGGCCGGGCGTCTCTGCAGCGGCTGGCAGAGGGTGAGAGCCATGCACACCTGTCGTGGGGCACTGCCCAGGTCCCCGCTGAGCATGTTCAGGATGGCAGAGCTGTGGGCATCCACCATCCCCTTGCATTTGACCGAAGACTCCTGGCTGGGAAGCCACTCACAGGTCTTCATCACCGCAGCCAGGATGTCGGTCTCGGCAGCCTCGGGGTTCAGCCCGTTGCTGGCAGTGGCTGCCACGTCCAGGCACAGGTCACAGGGCAGGGACCTGGTGGTGGGCTGGCTCCAGACCGCGATGCGGCAGTGCCCAACCGCTCCGCATCGCATCGCCGCCTGCAGGTCCTGACACCACACCGCCGGGCCCTTGGCGCACTCCTTGGGACCAGAGACAGAGACGGCCAGGGCGGCGCCCAGCACGCCCGGCAGAAGCAGCAGCACACAGAGCATGCCTTGTCACGGGGCCAGCTCCACTGCGCGCGCGGCCGCCCCGCGGCTGCTATAAAGCCCCGGGTTCACCTGGTGGGCGGCCCCGCTCAGCAGGCTCCTCTGCAGCCTGACTCATCGCCCTGGTGTTCCCTGGTTCCCCGCAGGGTGTGCAGGTCGCTGCTTCCTGGAGCACCGTCCTTCCCTCTCCCCACCCCCTGGCTGGATAGACTCTCACTCAGCTTTCAAAACCCAGCTCAGTCTTCAGTAAAGCACAACTCACCTCTTTCCTAGAAGCCTGTCTGCCCCCTTCCCCTCAGCGCATCCTCTCACTCTGATGTCTTCCGCTGGCTAGGTCCCCTCCTAGAAAGACAGCCTCTGATGTCTGTTCATGTTAGTTGCTCAGTTGCGTCCAACTCTTTGGGACGCCATGGACCATTATCCTCCTCTCCAAGGAATTTTGCAGGCAAGAATACTGGAGTGGGTAACCATTCCCTTCTCCAGGGCATCTTCCCAACCCGGGGATCGAACCCGGGTCTCCCGCACGGCAGGAAGGTTCTTTAGTGTCTGAGCCACCACGGAAGCCCAGGATGAGAGACTCTTGGGGGGATTTTTGTCCCCCTGTGGGCGGCACAGGCATCCTGTCCTTTTAATGCCAGAAGGTGCAGTGAATTCAATGACTGACCAACTACAGACGCCCTGTTTCCTACATCTGCCCTTGAAATGGCTCGCCTGGCTGGGTCTGCTCCTGGCCCGGGCCCGCAGTGCCATGGAAGGGCCCCTCATGTCTTCATCTGTGATGTGAGTGCCCGTCGGCCTCCTGAGACAGCCGCCAGGGAGCAGGTCTGGAAACTTGGCCGAGTGTGGGCTGGCCCACCCTAGATATGAAGGTGTTGGTTGAAAGTACCCATACACAGAAGGAATTTGTTTCTTTCCTATGTCACTCCTTATCTTCTTATTTTTCTGGCTTAGTTTTTAAATGAGTTATCAGTCAAGTGGGTCAGATGTCGGACACACCCAGGTGTCCTGAGCTGGATCCAGCTCGTTAAAAGGAGGATTCCATAGCCAGCCTCTCCTTTGGCCTGCTTTCGACTTGGCTCATGGCTCCCACCTTTCCACTTGGCTCACCTCCCTGGGGTCTTCCCAGGCAGGAGTGGGTGGGTCGAGGGCCTGAGGGCAGAGGGCTCCCCTGGGGTCGCCTGCACCCCTTGGAGGGTGTAAGCCCCCGGCGTGGTGCTGTCTCTCAGATTCAGAGGGGCAGTCCGCACCCCCGGCTATGTAGGTCAGGCCTGGGGGCCCAAGACTGCCGCTGCCCTGTGGAGGAATGTGGCCGGGGTGGCTCCATCCACCTCCTCTGGGTCCGGGGTTGGGCAGAGCATGCGGAAAACAGCACTTGCTGAGCTCTTCACACTGGCCCTAGGACTGTGGGTGCCCTGGACCAGAGGAGGGACAGCCTTTGGGTTGAAGTGAGCCTGGGCGCTCAGCTGCCCGGCTCCCGGGTCTCACTTGCAAAGCGGGGGCTGGAGACGTGGGCACCCCATCCCAAGCTGCCTGGGGCAGCCAGGGGTTGGCTCACTTTAACACCCTTTCCACGTGCCTGCTCCTCACTGAGCACATCACCTGAGATTCCTGAGCACCCACTCGCATCCCACGAGGACTGTGGGCACCAGACCGGCAAGCAGGAGGCCCTGCCCACTGCCCTGCGCCAGGGCCCCGGCCGGGCAGCCCCAGACCTCTGCTCGGCCTTCATGACTTCTGCCACGGTCTCCTTCCCCAGGCACCGCCCTGCCCAGAGGCCCAGAAATCTCTCCCTACTGAGGAAACATGAAATTGGTTTTTATTTTATAAAAAGATACATCAGTCAGTCACTCAATCAGTTCAGTTGCTCAGTCGTGTCTGACTCTTTGTGACCCCATGAATGGCAGCACACCAGGCTTCCCTGTCCATCACCACTCCCAGAGTGTGCTCAAACTCATGTCCGTCAAGTCAGTGATACCATAGGAGACTTTTCTCTTGGACTTTCTAATATTTTTTAAATAATTTATTTCGTTATTTTACCAAGCCACGTGACTTGTGAGATCTTTAATTCTCTGACCAGGGATTGAACCCAGGCCCATGGTGGTGAGAACATAGAGTCCTAACCACTAATTCCCTGTTACTTTTAGAATTTTTATTAAAATATTTCATGCATACAGGAAAGGGCACAGATTATAAGTGTTCAGCTCAGGGAAGATCCACAGACTGAGCGAGTGCCCGGGCCCAGACAACGTCCATGATTCTGGGCAGCCCCAGTGCACCTTCCGGCCACCACTGCCCCGCCCACTGCCAGGAACCCCGATTGTTTCATCTCCGGCTTCTTTGGCGAGGTATTGGGCCTGCGAGCTCTGTCTGGTCTGCCGGGTGGGTCCTCATTTCTGTGCAGAATCCGTCGGGTGAATTCATGTTTTACTAATCTCTTCTACCCTCGTGGGCATTTGAATCAAGTCCAGTTAGTTTGGGGCCGGCGTGGACACTTTGGTGCCCATCTAGGGGTGCGTGTGTACCCCTATCTCTGCTGGGTTTTCTCTAGGAGCAGAATTGCAGGGGTCAGAGGGCAAACGTCCAGTAAATGCCGACAGATGGTTTTCCACGGTGGTCGTGCCCACTGCCTGCAACAGGGCTCAGAGTTCTGGTTCCTCCACATCTGTTTTTTTTCCTGGGGGGAGGTTATGTTTTATTTTGATATAATTTCAAACTTAGAGGACCACTGCAGAAATAGAGCAAGGAACTCCTGGCCAGCAGTCACTCGGGCACCTCGGCCCAATTTGCTTCCTGGGTCCCCTTCCCGCTTCCCTCTCATCTACCCACCCATCCGCCTGCATTTGTATTTACAGACACTTGTGTCCTAACCTGTTGAGAGTATAGTGACGTCATGTCCCCTTACGCCAGCTGCTCCAGTGTGTTTCTGGAGGATGAGGATGTCCTCCCAGATAATCACAGTGCATTTGTCAACATCCAGGGCTGTGATGTTGATACAATCCTACTGTTTAACCCGCAGCCCTTGTTGGGACTGTGTAGCAGCCCCAGGGCTGCCCTCTGACCGTGTTTCACCTCCTGGTCCCAGCTCCAAGGTCAGGGGCTATGTGCGCTCACACGGCCCCTCCGTCACCTTTTGTGTGTTTTTCTTGACCCTGGAGTCCCTGTGGTTACTTGCAGGATGCTCTCCCCTTGGGTCTGCCCCGGTTCCCTCGTGGTCAGACATGGCAGGACCCCTCTGTGCCCCAGGTGAGGAGGATGGATGTGGGCCCACCCGGTACTGCGGGTCTGGGGTCACTTGCTGGAAACCTGCTGCTTCTTCCTCTGTGGAGTTACTGTTTCCTTTTTTGTAATTAACAATATTTAGAAAGGTACTTTGAGAGTGTGTAAATATTCTGTTCCCATCAAATGTTTACCCACTGTTAGCATAACTGGTCCTTTGCTAAGCCCATCTTCCCTCGGTATTTTTAATTTGGTATTCTTATATAAAAAAGAGCTTTTCCTTCCCTTCCCTCTTCCTGCCTCCTTTCCTTCCTTCCTTCCCTCCTTCCTATGTAGACTTGTGAATGCTTATTTTATTTAACAGATTGTAGTCCATGCCTTTTTTGCATTTCTTTTTCTTGCGGATGGTCTTGCTCCCCATCTCCTGTATAATGTCATGAACCTCCATCCATAGTTCATCAGGCACTCTGTCTTATCAGATCTGGTACCTTAAATGTATTTCTCACTTCCATTGTATAATTGTAAGGGGTTTGATTTAGGTCATACCTGAATGGTCTAGTGGTTTTCCCCACTTTCTTTAATTTAATTCTGAATTTGGCAATAAGGAGTTCATGATCTGAGCCACAGTCAACTCCCGGTCTTGTTTTTGCTGACTGTATAGAGTTTCTCCATCTTTGGCTGCAAAGAATATAATCAATCTGATTTTGATATTGGCCATCTGGTGATGTCCATGTGTAGGGTCTTCTCTTGTGTTGTTGGAAGAGGGTGTTTGCTATTGTTTGTTGTTGGAAGAGGGTGTTGCAGTCCATGGGGTGGCAAAGAGTCAGACATGACTGAGCAACTAAACTGAACTGAACTGAGTCCATGCCTACAATTGCTGTGATGCCTAAATGGCTCCAGATCAGCTCAGTGGGGCCCTTTGAGGTGACCTCTGTGTCTCTGACATGTGTCCACTGTTCTTAGAGCACTTCTCTGCTTTTAAACGAAGACTTGCCCCAGGCTTATCTTGTGCATTCCTTGAACCAACCCTGGAACCAGCCTGGTTGATGGAAGGTAGTGTTTAAAAACCAAGATCCAGGCATAGATGTGCTCATTGAAACTGTGGTGTCAACACAGCCACCATGGTGAACTATAACCTTAGAGCAGTGAACACCTTACCTCTTACTGATGTGGGTGATGGAGGAAGGATGTGTTTACATAGAAATGGAGACAGACATTTGTAGGTATGAAGACAGGCATGTACATACATATAGACACATGTGTACTTGCAAGTATCATCCATTCACTGTATGTCTTCATCAGACAATGAGTTCGCTTTGATCCTTAGGCAACAACTCCTTGGACAACATTCTAGTTTTCTTCTTTTCTGTATTCTTAACTCCCCTGCCCAACAGTGAGGAGTGTGGGTCCCATTATCCTTAATATACTTACTCATTTGCTGAACTCTAAAATACAAAAAAAGTTGTTTCAGAATGCCTAATCCTGGGACTTCCCTGGTTTTCCAGTGGCTAAGACTCCATGCTTCCAATGCAGGGGGCCTGGAGTCCCTGGTCAGAGAACTAGACCTCATATGCTACAACTACAAGTTCACATGCTGCAACTAAAGATGCCGTGCGCCACAACTAAGACCCGGTGCAGCCAAATAAATATATATTAAAAAAAAAAAGAAAGATAAAAAAGAACACCTAACTCCTACCACTGTGAAAAGCAAAACTTACCAACTAGACTTCTGCATTTGCACACATTTATCTTTTCAATTTTGACATAACATTTACATATAGTAAAAT